ATAAAAACTCGGTATTCGTTTGATTAGGGAAGCGAGTGGGAGGCGGAGTCTTCAAAAAATTAAAGGCTTACTAGGTATGGACGCAGGAATATATACACTGCCGTAAGTAGCGTAATATTGTGAGCTCGTCGATGGGGCGAATCCATTCCGCAACCGTCTACGTCATCCTCAAGAGCAAGTGGCTCCTTGATCTACGAAGCATTTGTTTCCTTTGTGGAGAAAACACCATAGACGTATTCATCAAGCTGCAAAGCAAACTACCTCAATCCCGAAGAAGCAATGTGCATAAAGTAGAATCACTGTGTGCCAGGCCAACGATTCTTGACGTGACCAATCGCTGAGGAGACGAATTAGGACAGCAGATTACAAATTGCCTTGGCGCTGTATCGGATCTCGTCGCTGCTAATGTCAGGGTATTACTCATTGTGTCATAAACAATTGTACAGCTTGCTATCACATATTCGATCAAACAGAGAGCTTTCAGAGGCAAAACGAGTGTATGGAATGTACATATTGTTTGTGAGCGATCTGACACACGTGTGCGTGAACGGCTTATCGATTCGCCGACTAGCCGCAGGCGCCTTTCTTTATGTGCGCCGTATTTGTAAATGTGTGTCGTATCTGCGTTCTGGAAAAGCAGTTAAACAGTTAAAAAAAAAATAATTATCCGGATATTTCCAGAAGGTTCCAGAAAGTAAACAAAATAGTATTTAAAGGAAGAGACGATCGCCAAGAGAGTAGAAATAAATTTAGCGTTGCAGAAGTGAATCGAGAAATAAATTGACGGTGATAGCAGTGAAATAAATAGCGCAGTGAATAGTAATACATCAACAGTAGTGTAAATAAATAGAATAATTCATAACCTAAGTTTAGTAATTTAATAGTGTTTTCAAGTTCTTTAATAATTAGTGTAAATAAATAATTTTTGTCGTTATCAGTCTTAGAAATAAATTTTGTTAAACCCAGGAACATTACAACTGGTGTCAGGTGTGGGGTTAAGTAAAAGACATTACAATGGCAAAGAAGTTGTACGAATTAAAAGTAGCCGAGTTAAGAAGAGAATTGGAAGAACGAGATGAAGCGACAAGCGGTAACAAGGCGGAACTTCAGTGGCGGCTCGCGGAGGCGTTGAAAAAGGATGGTCATGATCGTGAAACGTTCCTTTTCGAAGACGAATTGTCGCAAACGACGAAAAGTTTGGAAAATAAATTGAAAGAAAATAGTAAAAGTTTGAAACGTGAATTGGAAGAAAATAGTAAAAGTTTGAAACGTAAATTAGAAGAAAGCAGTAAAAGTTTGGAAAATAAATTGGAAGGAAACAGTAAAGGTTTGGAAAATAAATTGGAAGAAAAATTGGAAAAAAATAGTAAAAGTTTGAAACGTGAATTAGAAGAAAATAGTAAAAGTTTGAAACGTGAATTGGAAGAAAACAGTAAAAGTTTGAAACGAGAATTTGAAGAAAATAGTAAAAGTTTGAAACGTGAATTGGAAGAAAATAGTAAAAGTTTGCGGCGAACTAGGTCATACGAAGAGGCAGTGTAGGAAAAGTACTCCTTCCCCAAGTACTGGACGTCAACAGCAGGAAAACTAGATAGAGTCGACGTAACGGGGCAAACGTTGATCCAAGGGCAAAAAGACCCCGAATTTATCGCATTTACAAAGACCTTGAAGCACCAGAATGACAGTCTACTCCTAGGTGGAAAAATAAAAGGACGAAGATGCGTGTTTCTTCTGGTCACTGTGGCCACTAGGAGCATAGTAAAACCCAGCGTAGTCGAGGGTTCTAACCAGGACGTGTCAACTAAGTGGGTTCTGCGTACGGCTACCGGAAAAAAACCGGTTGTTCATGGCGAAGCTAACCTGTCACTTGAAATCGGTAAGACTGTTTTTGACCATCGAGTGCTTGTGGCAGATATTGAAGATGATGTAATTCTTGGGCTGGACGTTTTACAAAAATACGATTTTGACATGAATTTAAGAAGACGCATTCTGAGACTGAATGTCGATGTCTTTGAGACTGACAAGAATGTTAGGGGAAGGACCAATATCGTAAAACACAAGATCTATACTGGTAATGCGCAGCCTATTCGTCAAAGACCTAGACGATTGCCCCTGGCCAAGAAGGAAGAATCAGAGCGAATAATCCACGAAATGCAGCAGACCGGCATAATTGAGCTATCCTCAAGTCCATGGACATCACCGGTAATATTGGTAATGAAGAAGGATAGGACAACCCGTTTTTGTATGGATTACCGACAGCTTGGATATGCTTTCTGGTTCGAAAATGTTTTCCACACTCAATTTGACGAACGGATACTGGCAAGTTGCTTTAGATGCTGCCGACAAGGAAAAGACCGCATTCTTGATCGGCTCTGGCCCATGGCAGTTTACAGTTATGCCTTTCGGATTATGCAATGCCCCGGCGACGTTCGGAAGGTTGATGGAGAAAATCTTGAGTGATCAAATTGGAAAGACCTGCTTGGTATACCTGGATGACATCATTTTGATTGGAAGCACCTTTAATGAACAGCTGCAGAATTTGCAAGCGGTATTCCAGTGGCTACGTGAGGCCTATTTGAAACTCAGTCCGAAAAAGTGCCACCTTTTCCGCGAAGAAGTTTCTTACTTGGGACATGTTGTATCAGCGAAGGGCGTGGTCGAGGATCCAGAGAAGATAAAGGCCGTGAAGGAATGGCCAGTGCCTGAAAATGATCACGACATAATAAGCTTCTTCGGATTGTGCACGTATTATCGTCGCTATGTTTATGGATTCGCCAATATCGCCAAACATTTGACACGTTTAACCGAAAGTGACCGCAAATTCAATTGGGATTCGGATTTAAAACGGCATTTGAGACTTTGAAGCAGGCTTTAATCACAGCCCCCGTACAGCTATTAGGTTTTTCTGTCCCTTTTTTTAGCGGTTTCGAGTTTAAATTTACCATTACTATCCTACTGCTTTTTTGTAAATAAATTTCTACACCCTGCTCTGCTTTCCTGCGCATTACAATTCCTACCTCCGAATTACCTTTCACCGATCCTGTATATATTACTCCAAAGTCTCCAGCTTCTGACCAATGGACTTCGCTTATGCCTACTATATCTAATTCTAGCCTATTCATTTCAACTTTCAAATTCTCTAATTTCTCCACTCATGATTCTAACATTTTAGGCTCCGACTCGTGAAATATTGCACCTACCCCAATTACACGTATTGATGATATCACTCGAGATAGCCCCCGCCCGAACACCCGAATGGGGGACTAGTTTACATCCAGGATGCTTTACCCCAGAGGATGTCATCATTCGAATTTGGTGTGTTTTTCTTGGGATATCGTAATGTGGTGGTTTCCCGTTCCACCCACTTTAGTTTGTATCGGAGCTTAGTCAAAGAAACAGCAGCTGACGAAGAACTACAAAATACATATACATGCTGTATATACAGCAACATCTAATATATACATTTTGGGATCAATATCTTCGCATGGCTGTTACGTGATCTCGCGACAGTGGGTCTGCGATCACTAAATCAAACCAACCCCCATGAGGGAGTAGAAATAAATTGACCGGTGCAGATGTGAAACGAGAAATAAATTGACAGTGATAGCAGTGAAATCAATAGCGCAGTGTGTTATTTTATATTATTTTTATTTGAACAATAGGTTTTTACTTAAACTGATTGAAACTCTTCAATCAAGCAACTCAGGTTCTGTCAACTCGTTTTTTGTCTGTCTTCCCCTAAATTAGGCATCCCCCATCATATAACCATGTCATTAGGTTGCCTACCTCACACAGTGGATAGTGATATATCAACAGTAGTGTAAATAAATAGAATAATTCATAACCTAAGTAGTAATAATTTAATAGTGTTTTTAAGTTCTTTAATAATTAGTGTAAATAAATAGTTTTGTCGTTATCAGTCTAAAAAGTTAATTTTGTTAAACCCACGAACATTACAAAATCAGAAATGCAACAACGAATATAAAAATTAATTTAAAGGTGTTTTACCGCTACATACCTTTTTAAGCTTCTCTTTGCTCGTTCTACTATAGAAGCTTCTTTACTGTCAAAAATTAAATAGTGATTAATGTTTATTGTAAAACTCTTTTCTATTATTAGTTTGCAGATTTGCTCTTCGTCTAGTTAAACCTTTTTAGAGACGGTATGTGTAATTCAGCTGCAACTTCCTTTTTAAAAGCGGCTGATGTTTTGTTTTCGAATTTTAATCGTTATTAAATGGTAGTAGAGGTGCTGGTACCGGTGGTGGTGGTGATGGCGGAGATATTCTCGGTAGACGGTGTAACTGAAGAAGAAAGTCTCACTGTAACCGTACTCTTTTCTATACTGAAATGTTTAAAGATAGCGTCAATGTACAATGTATTTATGTAAGGATAAGCGTTTAGCGTATCAGTGTCAGATTTGAGAGAGTTTATAAGTGCATATAATTTGTTTCGAAGAATTTTTTGCCTTTTATCTCCTTCAATCATTACATCCCTTTTAACTTATTCACATTTCATTCCGATTTGCTCTTTATGTCATTTGTCTTTATCGTGCACATATACAGGGTGTCCCATTTATAATAATTAAAAAAAACATGGCTTCCTGACACAAAACGCAATAAAAAAGTGTTATACATTTTTTCAATCTAGGTACAATTGAACTCGCAAATCGTCTTTGTAAATTTGAACGTACAATTTGTTTCATTACGGGCCTGGATCTATGCGACTAACGTCACTCAGCTGATCTAGTGTAGATGTAACAAGTACCTATTGGGAAGAAGCCGAATGCACTTCCACCTTATAAAAAAAAAGGTAAAAGTGAAAAAGAAAAGCGTACCTTTTTTAAAAAATGTTGAACTTGTCCGCCATTCGCTTAAATGCAACACTGAGAGCAGCGTACCTAAGTTGCTGCGAATTTTGACGAAGATATCGGGAATATTTCGAATTATACGATAGGCATTGGTAATGTAACTCACCACCAACTGACGGTTNCCTCAGTTTCCCGTTTGGTTTTTTGACTAAAACCAACGCATTAACCCAATCTGTCGGACCTAACACTTTTTTAATTATACCGGTTTTCTCTAACTCAGTAAGGCTTTCTTTAATGAATCTAGTAAAGGCAGTGCTACCTTCATAGTGGGGTGTACTATTGGTTTTGCATTTTTATCTATTATTATTTGGTAAGGTGAACCAAAACAACCAATACCATTAAACACATCTTTAAATTTCTCAATAATATTTGAGTATTCATTTTTTATTTTATTTAACCTATCAATTTTCATTATTAATTTTAAATTAATGCTCGTCTCTAACCCTAAAATCGCTTCAGTATTTGAATTAACGACGAAAAAATTCAACAAGTAAGTATTTCCATCCTTTATGCATGGAACCTCGCACTTTCCCAGAACCTTTAATTTATCACCCGTATAAGAATTTAACATTGTGTTTGTTTTTCTAATTATGTTTTTAGATAATCCTAGCGAACTAAACATGTTAAAAGGTAAGACATTTGCCATAGCCCCTGTATCAATCTTAAAACTAACTGTCTTTTCTGCTATGTTTAATTCTGTACGCCACTGATTTCCTAAATTTATTTCTGCTACCGTTTCATTTATACTCCCTACATAGAGAAACTCAACATTTGCATTTACTTTACTTTCCAGAACTTCATTAACAGAGTCTTTATGGGTTACTTGATTATTTTGATTGTTCTCTACCTTATGTGTATTTTTAAAACACACCGATGCAAAATGATTCAATTTGCCACAAAACTTACATGATTTACCAAAGGCAGGACATTTATTTACAGGATGTTTTGACATACCACACTTATTGCAATTTGTGATGAATTTACCCTGGGATTTACCACGTTGTTTTGTTTGTAGTTGGTCGATGTCACATTTCAATGATGATGAACTTGTACCTTGTCCTTGGCTGATAATCTGGCTTNGGCAGGACATTTATTTACAGGATGTTTTGACATACCACACTTATTGCAATTTGTGATGAATTTACCCTGGGATTTACCACGTTGTTTTGTTTGTAGTTGGTCGATGTCACATTTCAATGATGATGAACTTGTACCTTGTCCTTGGCTGATAATCTGGCTTTGAGCTTTCGCTGACTCAATCACTTGACAAAGATCAACTGCCTTGTCCAATTTTAGATCGTCTTCCTGAAGGAGTCTCTCTCTGATCGTCTGATTTTTTATCCCACAGGTGATCATTGTTACTACCAAGCTATCTTCAAGTTCCCTTAATTGGCAACGTGTTGCTTTCTTTTTAAGTTCAATAATGAAATCTTCAGTACTTTGTTCTTCTTCTTGTATAGATGTAAAGAACTTATACCTTTCATAGGCAATTTTCCTTCCCCAAAAAGTGTTCTTCAAACTTGTTTAGCAGCACCTGTAATTTATGTTTTTCTGTCTCTTCTATTTTAAACGTGGTATACACTCGAAATCCCTCATCTCCTATGTAATGTAATAACTGCGCACATTGGGTTTTTTCATCTTTTTTGGCTACCTCAGACGCCACTAGATAATTTTCAAAACGTGCTCGCCATAACTTCCAATTTTCTGCGACGTTCCCTCTGAACGATAGCACTGAAATTCCTCGGCTGTCCCCCATTTAGTATTGGTATCGATTCGTATTATAATTATTTCTAATGACCGTAGCACATACACCGATTGTAATTTATTCCATTAATTTTGGTTACTTATTACTTCGAGTTGATTTCTGATGACTGCGCCATGTTATTTTATATTATTTTTATTTGAACAATAGGTTTTTACTTAAACTGATTGAAACTCTTCAATAAAGCAACTCAGGTTCTGTCAACTCGTTTATTGTCTCTCTTCTCTTCAATTAGGCATGCCCCATCATATATCCATGTCATTAGGTTGCCTACCTCACATCCCCCTTTTTTTTTTTTTTTGTTTTTTGTTTTCAAAGATTCAGCTTCTGAGGCGGTTTCACTTTTCGACCCGAAGATGTACTTTTCTCTTTGTTCACAAAACCCTCTTCAGAATCTGTTTCCTCAGAATTGTCCCCACTTGATTCTGTGTCCTTACTCGTCTCTGTTTCACGTTCACTAGTTTCACTTTCAATATCTAAATAAACTTTTACATCCTCATTCTTCTCTTCCTCCCTTTCCTGAGACAAAAATGAAGACTTTTTATCGTATTTCTGTAATTGTAACATCATACGCTGTAGCCTAGCAGGGCATTTGTTAAGCGGTTTTTTGAAAATGTTAATTAAAGGTAAATGATCAGTTTCAACGGTTATTCGTTTACTAAACACAAACTGATGNGCGGTTTCGAGTTTAAATTTACCATTACTATCCTACTGCTTTTTTGTAAATAAATTTCTACACCCTGCTCTGCTTTCCTGCGCATTACAATTCCTACCTCCGAATTACCTTTCACCGATCCTGTATATATTACTCCAAAGTCTCCAGCTTCTGACCAATGGACTTCGCTTATGCCTACTATATCTAATTCTAGCCTATTCATTTCAACTTTCAAATTCTCTAATTTCTCCACTCATGATTCTAACATTTTAGGCTCCGACTCGTGAAATATTGCACCTACCCCAATTACACGTATTGATGATATCACTCGAGATAGCCCCCGCCCGAACACCCGAATGGGGGACTAGTTTACATCCAGGATGCTTTACCCCAGAGGATGTCATCATTCGAATTTGGTGTGTTTTTCTTGGGATATCGTAATGTGGTGGTTTCCCGTTCCACCCACTTTAGTTTGTATCGGAGCTTAGTCAAAGAAACAGCAGCTGACGAAGAACTACAAAATACATATACATGCTGTATATACAGCAACATCTAATATATACATTTTGGGATCAATATCTTCGCATGGCTGTTACGTGATCTCGCGACAGTGGGTCTGCGATCACTAAATCAAACCAACCCCCATGAGGGAGTAGAAATAAATTGACCGGTGCAGATGTGAAACGAGAAATAAATTGACAGTGATAGCAGTGAAATCAATAGCGCAGTGTGTTATTTTATATTATTTTTATTTGAACAATAGGTTTTTACTTAAACTGATTGAAACTCTTCAATCAAGCAACTCAGGTTCTGTCAACTCGTTTTTTGTCTGTCTTCCCCTAAATTAGGCATCCCCCATCATATAACCATGTCATTAGGTTGCCTACCTCACACAGTGGATAGTGATATATCAACAGTAGTGTAAATAAATAGAATAATTCATAACCTAAGTAGTAATAATTTAATAGTGTTTTTAAGTTCTTTAATAATTAGTGTAAATAAATAGTTTTGTCGTTATCAGTTTTAAAAGTTAATTTGTTAAACCCACGAACATTACAATGTTATTGTACACAAAACTTTCATTGGTTAATCTCGCAGGTTTTTCTTGCTTTGTTGACCGTTTTAAGTTTAATTTTTCATTATTAATGTTAACATTTGGGTTATCGTTGTTTTCATTTTCAATTTCGTTTTCATTTAACATAATTTTTGCAAACTCATACCCTGATTATAAACCAAAACAATCTGTACTGTATTCGATAATATCAAAATATCTACTACCACAATTTTATTATTTATCAAACAGGAATTTTCACTTCATCCGCCATCTTGGCTTTTTCTTTCTATTCCTTTGCGTCTTCCTCAAAAATACAACTTTTCAATTTTAATATGTCAACAACTACTTTTACGAAAACTTTTCTTAAATATTTAACTTACACTTATCACAACTTTTCCGCAGTTTTCCATGCACGTGTCTTACAATGATTTTCACGACCCCCGAAAGGAACACGTGAAAAATCAAAAACCAAACCACGCTCTGCTGTAATGATAAAATATATTTGTAATGAGGTCCAGAATTAACTGAAGCAAATATATCAAGAGTTAATAGGCAGAGCCGTAGCGAGGCCGATTCAACCGGTGCGGCGCACCGGGGCCCCCGCAGTCGAGGGGCCCCTTAGCAGTATTCCGTTTTCAAAATCCGTTGATATAATTATCATTGCTACCATAAAAAATTACTAATTGCTGACCATAAATCTATATCACCCGAAACATATAGAATTCATTGCACAAACATCAAGTGCTCTTATTTCTAAAACGTTTTTTTTCTCGATTTGATAGCAGCAAAATCAACTGCCGCCCATGCCGACACCGCGACGTTGGCGTCACCGTGAGAGGTTATCTGTCAGTGCTGCACGGGGAATCATCTATTCGTGAAATTAAAACATTTTTTTAATGACATTTTTCTGATCATCAATTTTAAGAAGGGCCCCTTGCGGAATACCGCACAGGGGCCCCGATCTCATCTCTACGGCCCTGTTAATAGGATTTATTAAATAAGAGAGACAAAGATTAGTATCGATTAGAAATAATTCTCTTTACACCGAGGGACCCAATCAGTGCACGTGAGCTTGGCAATGGCCATATAATGCTGTAAACACAACGGTGTCGCTCACAAGCACACTACTATAAGCATCGCTACATATGTTGTTAATATAAATTTACCTTTATTCTAACACTAGTGACACCCACAGTTGCGCGCCACTGCAACGATTAATGGCAGAGGTACCAAGATCACTCAGCAAAATCCCATAAAGATCATTACCGCCGTCTCAGCCAACCTATCAGAAAGCATCCAAGGTGCGATTCTTACCCCGTAAACAACCAACCAGGAGCCACCTAATGATGAACCGTCTTCAGATATTGTATTCAGACTTATTGTCCCGTACAACAAAACGCTTCTCTTCGACTTTCAACGCTCGCCATGCATCACGATATTTGGCACTAAAAACAACTTGACTCGTCTATCTGACGCCCCTCATTGGCTTGCTAATGACACATTAAAAGTAGCGTCACAACCATTCACCCAACTTTGGTCTATTCAAAAGAACGTTCTGGTCTCGTATATCTCTACTCCTCTTTACGCGATTTGAAAATAATTCAGAAACCACCTATATTAATGCCTTCGACGCTATTAAAAACCTTGCTCCCAACTCAAATCCTAAGTCAGTCGTCGTTGATTATGAAAAGGCTGAAAGCATTGAAGCAACCTTTCCTGACATTCAAATCCGTGGATGTCTTTTCCACTTTTCACAAACCATCTACAGCAGCATTCAATCTCCACCTGACATACATTCTGTGTACAGAGATGTTGAAGAGCCAGACAGTTCGCGCCATCTTCGCACTTTGGCTGCTTTGGCTTTTGTTTCATCAGGATTCGTGACCAAATCATTTGTGTCCTTGGCTCAATCTCCATTTTGTTCATCCAATGAAGACAACTTGCAAGATCTTCTTGACTACTTTGAAAAAACTTAGATTGAGACTGTAATTCTTCGAGGAGCAAGACCAGCGTTATTCCTAGTTGAACAGTGGAATCAACACTGTCGCTCTCGATGGCGACTTCCTCAGACTAAAAACTCACTGGAAACCTGGTGCAATGCTTTTAGTGATCGTGTTGGATGCCCTCATAACTTCATCCCAATTCGACTAACTCAAAATGACAATGGAATTCTACCACCTCCTGCTCGCTGTAATTATCATGAAGTTAAACAATGACTGGAAAAAACAGTGGCCAAGGCTAAGGACAAGTAGGGTACTCCACTGATCACTTCTGCCAATGTCTACCAGAACCTTCTGAATGTTTCTCAAAACATTTAATATCACTAACTATTCATACCTTTCACTTGTACTTGGACTTTTTTTATTATTTTTAATTTAATAATTTTCTTCAAAATTACACTTTTGTATACTCTTTGAAAATGGTTTAAACACCGAAATGATCGTCAGAGAAATAAATGAACATTGTGAAACTTGCCAAGTGTTTTAATTTCTTTACTTTACTTTTATAAAAATGTTTCACCATGTGCCAAGCGAGTCTACAGTTTCAATTAATTTTTTTCATTTTACTTTACCTTAGGTTAGCTAGTGTTTCCATACTTTTCCCCTAAGTTAGCTTGGATTACTATACGTTACCCTTGGGTTGACTTCCTCTTTTCGATGATTTTTGTTCTGAGAGTTCCCATTCGGTGAGTTTACCAGACACCCATCAGAGTACACACAGTTGTATTCGACTACAGCAAAAGCTCTTTATTCACGGGGTATACGTTCCATAAATATGCCGTGAATACAGAAATCGTGGATATGGAATGGTAATTAGTATGGAATCATAAGAGATACATTCTAAGGTTCTAAAATAAAACCAATATGTATCAAAATAAAATCAATTTGTTGATAAATTCGCAATTAAAAGAAATAGTACAGTACATACTCAAAAGATGGCAATACATTAAGGGGATTTAGTAGTACACATGCCGTAGAGTAAAAACATGCTTATCGGTTATAGATATCATGAGTTTAATGTTTGGAACAGAGGTTTGAAATTTTGTAGTAAGATAGTAGATAAAGCTTTGCTCTAAAGCCTGTCGAAAGTCATTTATTAATTTTTTTATTCCTATTGAAAATACGTGTCCTGCAAGAAGCATCAACTTTAAGCACTTGTAAAAGCTTATGATGACCATATTATTGAAAACTAAAAACGTGCCGAGTTAGTGTGAACCTTTGTCTGTTAACGTACAAAAAATCAGATATTTATCTCGCAGCGTTAAATCATAATGTTAGGATAGAAACCCAAATTTTCGGAAAAATTCACAGTAGGCACGAGCGGTCTGTTGCGGTCAATCCCCTTAATAAATGACACCGAATCCTTTTGTGTTTACCGATCGCATCCGCGAATAATGAAATTTTTAGCCGCGAATACAGAAACTGGGTTGCAATTATTTCACCCGCGAATAAGGAAACCACGAATAAGGAACTTTTACTGTATATTCGTTGCTCGTCTGG